TAGTATCATTAATTTAGCCAATTATATAGAATTTAAAATACAGTTGTAAAAATGAAAGTATAAATGTATGAAAATTTTTTTAGACTAAAGTACATTGATTGTTGACTTATATAGTTTAAAAACTCAAGTGACTGGACACTATTTATGCAAATATTGAGGGTTGATGACAGGGGAAAACTTTCAATTATGCTCACAAAGGCAGAACTATGCCTGCTGAATGAAGACATGTCACCAAAAGGCATAGATGATGAAAATCTGTGGTACTCTTGCATAGCCTTTTCTTTCTTCTTTAGTTATGGGGTTGTTATGGTTTTCTACATCCATTAACATTAATTTGACTGGTGTGTTAGGCTGGGTTGACTAGAGAAACAAATCCAGAGAAACTCATATATGTGTAAGAGAGAGCTTTCTATCGAAGAGCAATTGCATATCAAGAAAACATCTCAATGCTGGCGTAGGTCTCCAAGTGCCTCCTCTAGCTTTCTGAATGACTAAACATCAGGAAGGTGAAACAGAGAGAGGGTGTGTGGCCCACCTCCCGGTCAGAAGAAAGGAAGTTCCCAGACTCCTCATGAGAAGTCACCCCCACCAGGAGGCACCAATAGGCTGTGACTTGACTGACAGACTAAACTCTACCCCTTCAGTCTATTTATCAAGCTGACATGAAATTATGTAACCACCACAGGTAGATAGTGATTTCTAGGCATTTGTCCATTTTTTCTTGGCTATCAAACTTTTTGGAGCACAGTCTTCCATATTGGTATTTATTATTCTTGGTTCATTTGAATCTGTTGGGATGCCAACCTTTTCATTTTAAATTCTAGATATTTGCATCTTCTCTTTCATTTTCTTTGTTAAGTTTGCCAGCAGTTTGTCAAATTTATTAATTCTTCCAAGAACCAACTTTTTGTCTTGTTGATTTTTTCCATTATTTTTCTGTTTTCCAATTTGTTTATTTCTGATATGATATTTATGATTTATTTTCTCTTACTGTTGGAGGATTTTCATTGTTGCTCTTGTTCTGGTTATTGGTGTTGTGTTAACTTTGGATTTCTCCTCTTTTATTCATGTGTGAATTGATTATGATAAATTTACCTCTAATAAATGCTTTTGCTGGGTCCCAAGATTTGGGCATGTTACGTTATCGATCTTGTTTCTTTCAAAGAATTTCTTAATTTCATTCATTTTATGAGCTACTATCCATTTGTTATAATGTAGTATATTGTTCATTCTCTGTATTTGACTTTCTGCTTTTGTTTTTTCTGTTGTTGATTTCCAGTTTCATAGAGTTGTTGTGATCAGAGGAAATGGATAGTGGGACCTTCGTATTTTTTAATTAATTAAGGCTTGCTTTGTGACTTAACAAGTAATCTACGCTGGAGTATGTGCCATGTGCACTGGAAAACATTGTATACTGTGCTGTTGTCATGCAGAGTGCTGGTATGTGTGTCCTATGTCTTTGAGGTTGAGCTAGTTCATTGTGTTATTTAGCTTTTCTGTTATTATATCATTCACATATCAACCATTTCAATAGTTTAAGCTCTTCTGTTTCCTCATTGAGTTTCTTTCATCAGATCTGTCTTTCCTTTAAAATGGTATATTTATTTCTTTTACATCTATTTTTTTCTGTCTTCAACTCTGAGAGTTTGATTGCTATATTTAGAGGGTCTCTCATAGGGATGTATGTATATGTATGTTTAATATGGTTATATCTTATAGTTCTACTATTTGAAAATCATTACGTATTGTTCATTTCTGTCTTTCATTATGTTATTTGCCTTTGAGTCTATCTGATCAGAGTTTAATATTGCCACTTCTGCTTTTTATGTTTGCCATTGGCTTGGTAGATTCTTCACTGTGCTTTAATTCTTAGTCTATTTTTGTTTTTGAACTTAAGGTTTCTCTCTTGTAGCAGCTTATAAATGGGTCCTGTCTTTTAATCAAGTCTGCACTCTCTGATTCTTAACTGGTGCATTTATTTCATTGATATTCAGTGCCATTATTTATATTCGTGGGTTTGTTGCTGTCATTTTGTTCTGTGTTCATTTGCTTTTTTGCATGATGTTATTGGTGTCTTTGGGCCTCCTTTATTTCTGTGTTGTTTTGAGTGCTGTTTTTTTGTATTGGTTTCTAGGTGGTGTTGTCATGTATGTTCTACTGAGGTTTGTCTGCTGTTGTTGTCTTTGTCCATAATGATCCTGTGTGTGTGTATGTAATTATTGTCTTGTTTTTAATCTATTCCTTTAATTTCTCTTTATCTGGAAATACTTTTTTTTAGGTATCATAGCTGGATAATTATCTGACAATGTGCAGACCATTCCACTAGGAGATCCTTATGCATGAGTGAATTCATCACGAACAGGTGCTGGCCTGTTGGTTAATGGGATTCCTCTGAGTCCTTTGCTTCATCATTGTCATAACCAGCCTTCTTGAATGCACCGACCAGTATTTTGGTCAAGTTGATCTGGCCAAAGCTTTCCTACTGTTGGAGCTGCTGATTTTGTGATCTTGTTGTCAATGTTGCTTAGTTCTCTGGCAGTTCCTTATGCCTGCATCTGACCACTGTTCCCAGGGTCTCCACGGCTGCTCAAAAAAGAAAGTCATCTCCATATGTGCCTCACCTCTTACATTGGTGATTATCTATAGCAATTCCATCTTCATCTACATCCACATGTCAGAGGTTCAGTCCATTATGCTCAACATAGGAAGCTCTGTCTTGACCTACTTTGTTAATCTCTTACTGAAACCCTTTGTCTTCAGTCTCCACAATGATAAGATGATGAAGACACGTGGCAATGACATTGAACCACTGGTTCTAGGGAGTCTATGAGGGTCACAAGGAAAAAAAGTTCCTGTTAGGTTGAGAGATTAAGGTTTATTTAATATTTTAAAAATATATTAGAAGTTAAAAATCATTCAGTCAGTGTCTTTTATTTTTAATAATAAAATATTAGTCTTCATGAGTATATAGTATAAAGTCAAACTTCATTTTCCTTATTATAATCTTTAATGTGCCTCTACCACCACACAGAGAAAGCTCATTCAACTGATCATATTTTATATTCCTAGTTTTATGCACAATTTCCCTTCGGCTATAATATTTTAATCTCATGTAGTCTTTATGCAGGGAAACAGCTCTTATGAAAATATGTGTCTTAACCACAGTTATTATTATTTCAGTATCTTTTCCACACACCCAATCTGAGAGCACAAAAATAGGAATATTCAGAGGTGGAGCTTTCCATTTAGATTGAGTACTATGATTAAGATTAATCAGGATTGCTGTGTGCAACTTCTGGCTGCAGCACTAAATAGTTGTCTTATTTTAATTTTACTCTTCTTTGTCTGACTAGCAGCTCTTGCAGAAGTCTTATAAGAAAGAAATGTTAAGACCAAAAAAATATTCGAATATCTCTAATTCCAAGACCATTCTATTTTGTATTCTCTGAATATCAGAACAATCATTTAATCACAATGTTAATAAATATTATTAAATTCCTAATATGTTTCAGGCACCGTGCTAGGCAGGACTATAACTCGAGCAAGTCAAATGAGTCATTAAGACTGAAAATTTTAGGATGCACTCAAGCCAAGCGTCATCTAAATGAAGGCTCAATACTTGCACAAACATGAGAATGAGCGCCTCCTGAAGTGTTTTGCTTTGGGTACCTCTCTTATTTTAAGGCTCTTTTTACAGTAGGAAGCAAAATGGACATGACTGTTAATTTACAGAATTTCTAGTACAGGAGGGTGAGCAGACAAAAATCAATTGAATGTACAAATAAGTACGTAGTTCTAATTTGTGTTAAATGCTTTTAAGAAAAGAGTTAGGTTTTGTCATAAGACAGGAGGAACAGCTTTAGTATAGAGATCAGAGAGGATACCACTGAGGAAGAAAGCTTTTAACTGATTGAGATTGAGCAAGAGTTAACCAGGAGAAGTGTAGATGTGTAGAAAAGAAGGGAAGAGTGGAATAATGAGGATGGATATATGTGCATAGGCCAAATCAGACAGGGCCGTACCTATAATGTTCATATTGACTTTTCAGTTCTTTAAAAAGAACAATAACTAAAAGTCTTTGGAGGGTTTTAATCAAGTAGTAGTCTAATATTTTAACAGGCTGACATTTACCAGTGTCTCAGAAAAAAAATACCTGTCAAGCTGCTTCCGAAAATCACAGACTTGGGAGCCATCTGGTGCAGGTGTGCTTGGCACACGTAGGGTTATCATCAGAATCCACAAGAGCCTGCAGTGGACTCCTCTTAAGAAGAGGAATGAATCCTGCCTCATAAGAAGTTGATTGAACTATGGAATTGTATGAAATGTGGATTATGTGCCTATAAAACTTTTTTGAAAAAGAATTTTTGTAGAGTTCAAGTGAATTTTAAATGTAAGTCTCTTGGCACAATGTATTTCCTATATTAAGTTCTTTAAAAAGTTTATTTTATGAAGCAATTACAGTAGAGATAACATTAAGAAATTATTAGGAAGAAGGTAATTTTTCCAAGATAATTGCCACTCTCCATATTGACAATAATTTTAATCAGCTTCTTGACATCAAGACCCATGGACTTACATTTCTTTTAACATCAAGATCTATCATGCCTCGCAAATATTTAGAAATGTTTTGATTTTCTCAAATGTATTGTATGCAAGAAATTATACCAATAAAAAGGTACATATTAGAATTCTCAGCTTCATGCATATTGCAACTGATGTGTTTTCTGTTTGTCTGTTAGTTTTTGGCAGGGACAGCATTGTGCTAATCTGTGAAAATGTCATCACTTGTGTACAGCATTTAAGAACTTCTCTAAGAGAATGTTCGAAGCAGTTCTATAATATTCATCCTAGACTCTAATGTGGCTAAGATTTCAGATCTCCAGGACTTGACTAAGGCCCTCAAAGAGTATGTAAGTTTTTCCAGCTAATCCACGAATCCTTCTAACCAGGTTGTTACCCTGATGCATGTCTCAGATTCCTGCCTCTACTAATATTTAGAGTCAGTGTTCTGAGTGACCAAGAAGGCAGTTTTTTCTCTTCCTCAGCTTCTTCATGGCTACAATTACTTCCTTGTTTCTCAGAGTATAAATGGCAGGATTCAGCATCGGGGTCACCATTGTGTACAGCACAGAAACAGCCTTATCCATTGGAAAAGTCCGAAACGGTCTTGCATAGATATAAATGCAAGGCACAAATATTAAGGTTACCACAGCAATGTGGGAGGCACATGTGGACAGAGCCTTGCTGCGGCCTTCCTGTGAGTGACTTCTGAGCATGACTAGTAGTACTGTGTAAGACACCAGCAGCACCAAAAAACACGCCAGAGTCACCAGCCCATTGTTAGACACCATCAGAAGTTCTAAAACAAAGGTATCTGTGCAGGCCAATTTAATCAGCTGAGGCACATCACAATAAAAGTTGTCCAGTTTGTTAGGCCCACAGAATGGCAGCTGGATAGTCAGCCCGACCTGTACAATGGAGTGGATGAAACCCCCGACCCAAGAAGCTGCCATAAGGAGCCCACACACAGTATGGTTCATAATAAGTGTGTAGCGCAGGGGCTGGGAAATGGCGATATAGCGGTCATATGCCATGACAGTCAGCAGGAAGATCTTGATGCCACCAATGAAGTGAAAAAAGAAGAGCTGAGTCAGGCACCCACCGAAAGAAATGGTAGGGTTGTGTGAGAGCAGGTCAACCAACATCCTGGGTCCTGTGACAGATGAATAGCAAAAGTCCAGGAAAGAAAGATTGCATAAGAGAAAGTACATGGTTGTGTGCAGGCGTGTGTCAGATGTTATTAGCGTCACAATGAGTAGATTTCCAGTTATGGTCATAAGATAAACTGCAGAGAAGACAATGAAGAAGAGGAACCGGAGCTCCCATATCTGAGAGAGCCCCAGAAATACAAAACCTGTCACCTGAGAATGGTTGGCTGAATTCATCTGTTTGGTAGGACTTGGAAATGAACCTGTTGAGGAAAATGAACATGTTCATCATGGAATACACAAACTTCTCTGAAATAATTTCTCCGGTACCCTCTAAGAAGCCTTCAAACCTCATTTACCATGCCAAGAATGTAACACTCAATTTAATGGAATAACAAGCAGCAGAGCATTATATAGCACTTATGAAACATCAGGGATATAAAGCCCCACATTAATTGATACGTTTTTTTGTATATGAGAATCAATGATAATAACCCATAAAGACCGGAAAAAACAGAGTAGAAGAAAGGCTTCTAGTCAGAGACTTAACTTCAGTTATGCCAGTGACTAGTTGTGTAAATATGGGTAATTCTCTGGTTTTCCGAGTCTCACTTCAGTCACCTTTTATTTAAATTAGGAAAAATTGTATCTGAGTATCTTATAATTTTTTATCGTATGACTATATGTTATTAAATGAAAATTGCCTGCTCCTCAAAAGACATTATTATGAGAATCAAAAGAAAGCCACAATGGGAAGAAAGTAGTTGCAAAACATATATGTGATTAAAGGCTAGTGTACAAAATGCATGAAGAACTCTTAAAACTAAACTCTAAAGATACAAAATTCACATTGCAGAATAGAGGAAAGAACAGACTAGATATCATACTAAGGAAAATAAATAGTGAACAAATAAGAATTTGAAACTCTAAGCATCTTGTGTCATGACAGAATAGCAAATTTTAAAATCAATGAGTCATCACAAAACTATTAAAATTGCTAAAAAAGTAAATAACTGACAAAATCAGTTGCTTGCTAAGATGAAACGCTCACTCAATGTCCATGTGAATGCAAAAGGTACAGACACTTTGGAAGACGTATTGGCAATTTCTTTCATAGTTAACTATTGTCTTACCATGAAACCGGGCAGACATGTCACTAGGTAATTACCCAACTGATCTGAAAGTGTGTGCAGGCCCAACCCTGAATGACTAAACCAAGGTCACTGCCACTGAGTCAATTCTGACTCAGGGGGACTGACCGTGGATAGGGCTTCGGAGGTTGCCGTGGGAAACAGCCTCTTGATGGGACAGACTACCTCACCTTTCTTCTGAGGAGCAGCTGGGACGTTTGGACGGCCAGCTTTGAAGTTAACAGCCGAACACCAAATCACACTGCCACCTGCTTTCCTTATGAATGTTTACAACAGTTTTATTTTGACTATCAAAAATAGAAAATGACAAAATGTACTTTAATAGACAAAATAAACCATGATATATTCAGTGATAAAAGTAAATGAGCCATCATGTCAGAAAAGGACACAGATAAATCTTAAATAAAGTGTTTTTAACGGAATGGAATTAGTCTGAAAAGGCTACATACTATATCATTCCAATTATATGCCATTCTGAAAAAAACTTATAAGGCTAGCCACTTCGTGATTGTGAGTGGTTTGGGGACAGGAGGACTTCAAATGCTAGTATATTTTGCAGACAGCCCTCTGTCGAGGAGTCTATTCAATGAATTGTGTATAGTTGGTCGGGCTGTTTGTATATTTAACAGAGTATTTATAATCTATTTTTAAATGAATTTTGTTTTAGGGCAAAGTGTCTGCTACTTTGCTGGTCTGAAAACTCAAATGAAAGTTGAAATTATGTCAAGAAAAAATATGAAGCTAATGCTATCAGTGTAAACTCGCCTTCAGCAAACCATTACTTAGATTTTAAGCTCTCATGCCATTGCATAGACAAAGTACAGAGGATTGCTTTAGGGTATGCTATAATACATCCCACTAGTAGATACATGGCACTATGCTTTCTTTTTTTAAAAAGTAAACTTTTGAAAAACGTTATCCTTAAAGTATGAAAATAATTGAAAAATTATGTTAGAAATTAGGGAAGCCCAAAATGAAATAAAGAGTATTCAAAATAGTCTAATAGTATTACAAATGTTTGAAACAGACTCACTGAAGGTAATGGGAAATAAGATACTGACCTTAGTAACTTTGAAATTGGTAGAGTCTATAGGACTAAAAACAAAGAAACTATGCATATTTTTTTTAACTAATAATGTATGTAGCCAGTGGCTTCAATCATCATTACCCATGTGTAAGTTCAGGGTCCACTTAATGAAATTTAAACAAATCCATGAAAGCTAAAATAAAACCTTGAACATATCCCACTTAAATTTCAAGAATATCTGAAGAATGGATCTGGCACATTCAACACTAATGACAGAAAACCTGGCAAGCTTTGGGATTATATCAAGAACATCAAACACGATGAAGCAAAAGGTTACTAAAAACACAAGAAATAAACACAAAACAAAGTGGATAACAGAAGACACGGAATTAAAAATTTGCACAGAAAATTGCAAATGGTGGCTCAAGAAACAAAGTAGAGTATAATAATGAAGATTGCAAATACCTGGAGTTAGAACTCAAAAATGGAAAATAGGTGCAACATCTCTCAAAAGGAAAAACTAGAAGAAAAAATACTAGCCTAGCGTTGCTGTTGCAATATTGAAGGATTCCTATGGGCAAAATGTTGAAGACACAGAAAGTATAAACGAAGACAGAAGAAATACACAGAAACACAGTGTCAAAAAGTATCAGGCAAGGATTCACCATTTGAAGAGGTCGCATGTGATCATGAACCGGTGACACTGAAGTGAGAAGTCCAAGCTGCACTGAGGGCATTGGTGAAAACAAGGGTCCAGGAAGTAATGAAATAACCATTTAAATGTTTCAGCAAACTGATGCAGTGCTAGAAGCACTCCCTAGTCTATGACAAGAAATTTCTGAGACAGTTACCTGACCACGCACCACCGTGAGACAAACTTACGGAGTACTGTGATGTTGCACGTTATGTCACTGGTATTTTACATAGTAGCAGGGTCACTTAATCGGAGCAGATTTCAACAGAGATTCCAGACCAAGAGCAGTCTACGAAGAATAGGCTGTCCACTTCTGAGGAATTAGCAGCCGAAGACCTCATGGACAGCGTCAGAAGATTATCAGAGTGGAAACCT